TGTTTACACGTAGTTTCTCGTACTGGGCACCCAAACTATATAACTGCATCTCAAGTGAGTATAAAGAATATAGCCTAGGCAACTTTAAAAAAAGGTTAAATATGAGCTTGAAGCAATCGGATGGCTAGAATTTAACTTTACGCATATCCACAGGTAATTGATTGTTTCATTTTTTTCTGAGAAGCGTAATACTTGAAGCTTTTCTTTTTTTTAACTGAGCCATTTAAATGTAGGTACTTTTTTCTTTATAGTTTGTGTCAATTTTTTAGGTCGGGATGAAGAACAGCGTAAGCTGGCCCTCCACCTTTTCGTCACTATTTTGTTTTCTTCCTGTTGAACCCACTATTTTGTAATTTTGTGACAAATAAAGGCCATTCATTATTATTATTATTAAAAACAAACCACCCAAAATCATCAAAAGTTTCTCAGTGAAGCGTTATCATTCCTCAAACAGGAATCAATCGCTATAAACACATAATCTCATCTCACATGTTATGGCAGACGGTCGCTGTTATGTATCAAGCAGTAAAAAGCTTCCATTTCGGAACATACATATTTTCTGCCGTAACTTGATTGAACTAAGTGCACTGAGCCGGATCTTGTGCGCGGATATGCTTTTTAGAGCACCCTAAGAGAGTAAAAGCTTTACTAATGGACCCTATCATCATCTAAAATATTCGTATATCATATACGGGTTTTACCTTTTTTATGTCTCTTTCAAGATATAATACAAGCAATATGACTGTTTATTTGAAAGATCTTCGACAACAAAGACATGATCTGAATAATACTTCCTTAAAACATGTGTGGCTCCAGGAATTCAAGCATAGAAATTATCCAAAGACTCCAAAATAGTTCTGATGGACATGGTAAATGCCTCCTAGTATGTTTGTAATAGGGACATTAACCGCAATTTGGATATCCCTCTGGTTATCGACGAGATCAAGAAAGTAGCAGCCAGGCACGAAGAAAGGCTGCATCAGAACCCCAGTGCAGAAGCTCTTCATGAGCTGGACAACTATAACGCTGAAGAGGACCACACCGTATGAACTTGTGTAGTGTGCTAGTAACATATACACCAAAGTCTTAAGATTACCGAGATGTTAGCCACCGCAAAATAAATCAAACATAAACAAAGTCTAACCCGATCCTGTACCTCGATCAGATCAAACGTGAACACGTACCATGCGCAACAGTACTTATTCCAGGCCTGACCGCGTTGGTAGACAAAACTGTTACAAATCGGTTCTAAAAAACAAAACAAAAATGGCCCACTTGTACAGCAATATCGGAGTATATTATTTTACGATGTCTTCGAAATGCTACCGAGGCTTCGCGAGTGCATGTAGATTGTTTTCAAGATCATTCGTTATATCTTTTTTGTTTGGGACGAAATGGAATGCAAAGTGTATAAAACTCAGGTGAACATGGTTGGTGAACTACGTCGGCGAATTTAGCATCTGCTGCACTTATAGGGAAATCCAGTCCATTCTGGAAATTAATTACTGATCAAATTGATCAGTTTTAATACTTGGCTATGAAAGACATTCTAAAAATAAATTAGGAGGGCACATCAAATCTGAGAAATGTTGCGTAAGTAAAATTCATCGGGTGTTGTGGGTGTTGCTACAATAAACACACGTTTGTTCGACTTATTTCTCTTAAAATGATAACTCTGTACATCAGTAAATTGTCCAATCCAGTGGCAGAACCGTGGTGTACGGCGATTAGTATCTTGACAATGTCCAATGACGTTCCGCCATTATCTGACGGATAATTATAACAGGACATGTATGATTAAACTGCTTGATTCCGGCGCTTGGCACTGCCCGGTCAATACTGCTGCTCGCAGACTCACTGACTATTAAATCCAGATGGTTGACACATAATTCATCTAATGATTTATATACGCATGGTAATGGTTTGCGTTGCGATAGATTTGTTAAAGGATTATTAGGTGATTTCTATGCAGAAGGTACAGTAATGCTTCTGCTGTTCTGCATGCTAAATGAGAATCAAGATTGCGTCACATGCATTACCTAGCGTCACTTTGGGCTGTCAAACTGTCAAAATAAAATTTGAGAGTAAAAATAATAGAGGAATTGCTGCATTGTGAAGTATCTACAAATACATACTATAATAATAATAATAATAATAATAATAATAATAATATTCTTTATTGCCAGCAAAATTTTAAAGAAAAAACATAAGCAACGTCAAAAAAAAATGTAGTACAATACCAACGGGATATTATATGTATGTTTACAATATTAAAAACTATTAAAATGACAAATAAAAGTCCAGTATGTCACAACTTAGCTTAAAATGTTATTAAAATAAAATAATGGAGCTCAAATGTTAAAATCAAAGCTGTACAAACATCTGTCCAGCAAAAACTTTTTCACCGCTATTTTAAACCTAATAGGCTTGCTCTCGGATTTTATATCTATAGGAAGCATATTGAAAGTTTTGACAGCCATGTATAATGGAGCCCTCTTAAAAAATGCGGACGAATGTGCAGGCACACTCAGATTTTCTCTGCCTCTGGTCACAACGGTCATACTTTTAGCATAATAATGTGCGTTACTATTAAAAAGATACATATGCTTTTTAACAAATAAAACAAGTGCCAAAAAATATAGTGATGGAACCGTCAAGAATCCCAATCTTGAAAAATGTTCCCGACATGATGTTCGAGGATGAAGTCTCAAAATGCACCTCAGGATGCGCTTTTGCGCTATAAAAACTGACATGGCACCCCGCGAAGAGCCCCAGAGCATTATACTATAAGTTAACAATGACTGTACAGATGAATAATAAAATTGCCGTAAAGTGTTCAAGGAAACCTCATTTCGCAGCCGCCGCACCAACGCACAGAAGCTGTGGAGCTTACCAACCAAAACAAATGTTTGACAATCCCAATTCAGACTCGAATCCAGGTAAATGCCCAGAAACTTTATATCGGTCATCTCTGGTATTGGTCCACTATTGCAACGAACCAACAGCGACTCATCCCTGGCAGATGATTTACTGAACGTGAGAAGTCCAGTTTTATCAGCATTCAATCTTAATGCATAATCCTTGCACCAATCCTGCATGGTCCCCACTGCACAAGAACAGACCCCGGACAAGCCAGACATGTCCGACGCAGTCAGCACAACAGTAGTGTCGTCCGCATACTGGCAAATCAGACCTTCCATAAATCTGTCACGAAGACCATTCACATAGAGCAGGAACAACAACGGTCCCAGAATTGATCCCTGCGGCACACCCTGTTTAATCAAGGTAACTGATGAAAAATGCCTAACACCATTTTGGGTTATACAGACAAGCTGCTCCCTACTGTCAAGGTATGACTCTATAAGCTGTGCACATTTACCTCGTATTCCATGTTTAGACAGAATTTTAAGGAGTATTTGATGGTCTATGGTGTCGAAGGCCTTAGACAGATCAAAAAACAGACCGGCCACTTTTTCATTCTTATCCACATTTTCAACAATATAAGTAAGAACTTTAAATAGTGCTAGTTGTGTGGAATGATTTGGGCGAAAGCCAAATTGATTTCTTATTAAAATGTTGTATTTCTTGATAAAGTTCATTATCCTTGAATATATGACTTTTTCAAAGACCTTTGACACAGAAGATAACAGTGAGACTAGTCGATAATTAGCTATGTCATGCACATCTCCTTTTTTGTAAATGGGAACCAGTTTGGCCCTCTTTAAATGTGACGGAAAAATTCCTGAAAACAGACATTCATTAATAATATAAGCTAACAGTTCGCATATATAGTCAGATATCTGCTTTAGAACTACCACCGGGATTTCATCCAAACCAGCTGAAAATTTGTTTGGCAAACTCGCCAAAGTTAGTTTAATTTCTCTATTGTCAACAGGAAGCAAAAATAAAGTGGGAATCGCACTAGCTTCCGAAATATCAAGACTGCCATGGGATTGCGGAGAGATATCAAACCTTTCCTGAAAGGCATCAGCAGTTTTTTGGGGATCTTTTATTATTACACCATTATTAAGTTTTAACTCAATGGAACGCTTAATTTTTGTATTAGTTTCTGCGTTTAAAATACTCGACGCAGTTTTTGTCATGTTTTTTGAGTTTAATATTTTACTTTCATTTAGAGCTATTTTGTAATTCGACAGAAATTTCCGGTATTCTTGTCGTACAATTTTATACTGATTATATACTCTAGGGCTATGTGTAATCTTAGACCAAACATACAAATCTTTTATATAATTAGAGTATGCTTTTATCTCCTCATTTACCCAGTTTTGTTCTTTGAATTTTAATCGATAGGTACATAATGGAAAAGAAATGTCAAAATAATGAAATAGTACGTTAAAGAAGGTTTGATATTTCTCCTCAACCCCAACTGAACCATATACATCATTCCAGGTCTCGGAGCTCAGCAGATCTTTGAAGCGCTGGATGTTGGAAGCCGCGAAAAAACGTTTCCTTGCATAATTGATGTTAGGAACCTTGCTATTTAATGTAAAATTAAGGCTCTGACCATAATGGTCTGATATATTTATTTTTATAATGCTACATTGTGTATCAGGTATATTGCTAAACATATTATCAAGCTGAGTGCCCCGAGTGGGACCTATCCTCGTTATGCCTTTCACGTGGGACACTAGTCCATAACTGGCCATAAGCTGTGTCACAGAAAAAACTCCATCATAATGAACTAAGAAATCTACATTAAAATCCCCGCAAACCAGCAGATATTTATTTGGGGCATACACATAATTTAAAACTTCATCAAGCGTAGATAGAAATAAATCTAAATTCACTGTAGGTGACCTATATATACAAATCACAATATAATGTTTATTATTTAATGTAAATTGTGAAATGCAATACTCACAGTGTTTTTCAATACACTCAGTGTTAGCCCTTAAGCTTTCAACGGTAATGTCTGAGTTTACAAAAATTGCTGTGCCTCCGCCACGGAATTCTGTTCGTGATGAATGGCTGATGGGCAGATAATTGTCTAAAACTACAGAGTTTATATCATTTCGCTGCAGCCAATGCTCTGAGACACAAAAAATGTCTGGTTTCTTTTCTGCAAGCAGAACTTTTATTTCCAAAATTTTGTTATTTATACTTTGTACGTTCAGGTACATAACAGATATACAATGACTCTCAGAGCCCTGGCTGCCAGAATCAGTTTCCCATGTGGAGGGTGTTTGGTGGTCGCAGTGTACATTAGTTACCCTGTATGACCCCTGTCTAAAAAATTTCTACCCAACCCAAAGTTAAACCTTCCAAATGCAACACCCTTGGGCCAAAAAGCGGTATTATATATCTTGTCTTTAAGTTCAGGATTTACACCCACCATAAAGTTCTTTTTTCTACTCTTTTGAGACTTTGGTATACATCGTTTTACCTGTATTTCATTGGCAGTAGTACTTGCGTGTTTTACAATATAATCGCTGATTGTATTTTCTGTGATGGTCTCATTAACTTTCGACAGGAAAAGCCAAATATACTACTATAGATTCATTCCGAAATGGTAATGTCTATAAATGATACTTCGACAAGGTGAAAACCTCGATTTTGTAAAAAAAAAATTCCACTTCGATTTTTTTCAGTAATCACTTTTGTCTGATGTACTAACATATATGTGTTACGAGGGATGTCTTTTAAGTTTTGCATATAGAAACATAGTAGGCCGCGCGGATCGAACGACAGTACTGAATCTTAACATCACTCTTTAGTAAACTTAAATTTAAAGTTTCACTACAGTGAATTTTTAAGTGTCAGCAAGTCATTAGAAAAATGTAACTCAACCGAGAACATTTTCGCGCCATAATTTATTACAACTTTCAGAGACAATTATCGCAACAAGAATGCCTTGCTGAGTTACTGTCTGTTTTCGGCAACGAAGCGCCACATCAGTCGACAATTTCGCGTTGGTATGGAGAATTCAAACGTGTACGTGAATCTTAGCGACGATCCCAGGGTAGGTGTACCAAAAACGGCAGTCACCCAGGAAAACGTCGACACTGTGCTCAAACTCATCATTGAAGATAGACATGAGACATATCGCGAGATTGAGGCGTCCTTGTAGATCTCAAAGACCTCAATTCAAAAAAATTTACATAAAGAATTAGGAGTAAGAAAATTAGTTTCTCGTTGGATACCCCACCTGTTGACTGAAGAGCAGAAAGCAGCTAGGTTTAATTGGTGTCAAAAAACGCTTGACCGTTTCAATTCCGGAAACTCAAAAAATATGTACAGCATTATTAGTTGTGATGAATCGTGGATTTGCTGTTATGAACCAGAAAATAAACGACAGTCGGTTGTTTGGGTGTTCCAAGGTGAAGAAAAGTCAACAAAAGTCATCCGTTCTCGAAGTGTTTCGAAAAAGATGGTCGCGACATTTGTATCAAAAGCGGGTCATATTGCAACAATTCCTCTTAATGAGCAAAGAACTGTTACTGCGGATTGGTGTACCACCATTTGCTTGCAATCAATCCCGAAAGAAGAATCATCCTGAACCAAGACAATGCAAGCTCGCACACAGCCCAAAAAATAAGGCAGTATTTAACGGAAGAAAACATGGAATTATTGGACCATCCTCCATATAGTCCCGATCTAAGTCCTAACGATTTCTCTACTTTCCCGAAAATTAAAAACAGACTGCGTGGTCAAAGGTTCCAGTCACCAGAAGAAGCAGTTGACGCATTCAAAAATGCCGTTTTGGATCTGCCAGAAAACGAGTGGAATAAGTGCTTCGAAAATTGATTCGAGCGCATGCAGATGTGTGTTAATATTCGTGGAGAATACTTCGAAAATCAATAGCCATTTAAAACTACCTACCGCGTTGTTTTATTTCCGTATGCAAAACTTAAAAGACACCCCCTCGTATCTGTCTAATCAACAATCAACAGTCAATTTTCTGATCGGAGGTAAATACCGCGGTGAAAGTGAGTCGTTCTATATTCATTAAAAGGCGCCCCATTACCCTGACAGAGTGAGATATAATACTCACTTAGAAGCGTTATTGCCCCCTTTCCTCTCTTTATATGTAGAGTGATTGATTCATCTAATATCTGGAGTGAAAAAAGTAATAAATGCCGACGCCAGGCCAACTGGATGTGTTAAAAATTCATGTGGGCCAAGTTCATTCCGTTATTGAATGTTCGAGAGGTGATTGCCGAGAGCTCTTGCGCTCGCTCCACGGCAAATGTTGCTCATTTTTTTATCGGCTCGGGTATTGCCAAGGAAAATATTATACTGTCACACCGAGGAAGTTATTACGATTGCAGGAGAACTTTAGCGAATGACATCTAACTGATCATACTTAATGTTTGAAGGAGTTTATGGTGGAAATGCGGTACAAGGGTTTAATATCCCATACATTGGACAGGCATTTTCTAATGTCTTTGATTGCAAATCATACACCGTGTTCAAGTGAAACAAGAGTTTCGTTCACCACGGTAGACGCAAGTGGACGGAAGAGAAGCTTTAAACCCTATGGATGTACAAGTGAACAATATTTTCAGAAACTGGACCAAGGCCCGCTTCTTTTTCTTTAGTAAATCGAGTGTGCAGAATCTGTTGTCAGTTTTTCACTGAGATTGACAGCAAATCCTAAAACGATCACTTTAAAATGAGATATTATATTTTTTTGCTTCCATCGGATTGTCTGTCAATGGTATATCTGTCTGCTAATCCTTGGTTTCATAACTTGGAAAGTAGCGCTTGGATTTTGTAGAAATTTTGACAAAAGGTTACTACCAAGCCAAGAACGGAAAGGATTTGTTTTTGCAAGTGGGACTAGTGGCGGCAGAGATAGGGCAAAAAACGAAAAAAAAAAACGGTAAAAATTTGTTTTTTCACTATTCCTGTTGGGACACGAGCATAAATATTGTGGGACGAAGAGGAGATATCGTCAATTACCATGGATATCTTGCGGCCGCTGAGGAAGTCAGCCATCCATCTGCAAAGCTTCTCTGAGAGGCCACAGCTTGACCCACTATCAGATGGAGAGCTTTCATAATGTCAAGAGCAACGACATGAGCCTCATCATGAGACTGGGCGGTGTTTACCTCTCACTTGCGTGATGCAAGCTAAAGGTTCCCCCGTTGGTCGGTGATATCGGAAATCATACTGTCTGTCGCTAATCAAACCGTGATGTTCGGGATATTCTAGAAGCTTCTCATTTATGAGCTTTTCCAGCACCTTGTCGATAACAGGAAGCAAAGCTATAGGACTGTAGTTGTAAGGGTCGATCTTACATCCTTGTTTTGGGATGGGCTGAACATGAGCGAATTCACAATTCTCTGGGAAAGTGCCAGATTATGGATGAGACGCGAGAGAACTGGAGCATGATCTGCTACACGTCTCTTCAGCACATTAGCAGGAATCAGGTCTGTATCACAAGTTTTGTTGATATCGAGCGACAGGAGTCGATTAAAATGATTAATACGTATATAACACACATTTTTATAACATTTATATCTGTGACTTCAGCAGGACCAGCTATCCATGAACACGTGATATCATTTACCTGCGGCGGCGCAAATCTGGATTAAGTTTCAAGACATGAGCTTGATAATTTCTAAAAATAGGTCTATATATTTCATTACTGTAAAACTCTTGTAATTTAGATTATTTACCTATAGTATACCATCTGTTATCGTAATCTAGCTGAACATAGCCAACCTTATACTGTACTACGTCCTCTAAAAAGGGATCTGAAAGATAGTAGTGCCAACTGTCATGATGGCAATAATGAATTTATATACTTTGAAAAGTGTTATATCGTGAGGTTCTGCTACTGTTTCATAGATGGTGCTAAGATCTTCAATTTCTTTTTAGCGCCTTTCTAATGCCCATCGTCAGTGAAGCTCTAACAGTAAATACGTAATTTTTGGACGGTCTTAACGTTTTAATGCCATTCGATAAAGTTAGCTTACGCGCTCATATTCGACTGATCAGAAAGGAGGTAACTGATCAATAGCGTTGCATTTTTCAATACAGATATTGTATGCGTCAATGGTTATTGATTAATACTTTATACAGTTTTCTTACACTACTGTAAAGTAGGCTTTTTTGACTTAACGCACTGTTAAAACTTCACTAATGCTGTTTTAATTGCTGATTATCATATTTCATCTGAAGATCTCCAATTAAAATAGGCATCCGGGATGCTCCGAAACGAGAGTGCAGATCCCATGGCGGCGTATGAGAAACTAGCAGAACCAAACAAACCAAACTTCTTAAGCGAGATTTATGAATTCATTTTCTATTCTTTTTGATGTTCGTATAGATGGCGTAAGCATTTCTCAGATCTCTTCTAGGGCGTACAATATGGTAGGTTCAGGTACGTATCTTGTACGTCGGAAATAAAACTTCAAGTGGTCTATGGACAAACATGCCAGCGTGACGCAGGTCGAATTCGCTATTATACCTTTATCCGCAAAGGAAATTGCCTACAGTATATTCAGATAAGAGATAGACCGGACATAAACAAGACCACGTGATCATCGAACGCTGTAACATTCGGCAGGGACGTATTAAGAGTCACGCAGTACATATTTTAGATAGTAGATGCTGCTTTGCGTAACTTTGTAGTAAATTAGCACAATTCGATGTGTATACGATTGGTGATGGATATAGGATCATGTGGGGGTGGGGTAAGAAATATATAATGATGTAAATATACATAAGGGTTTCAAAATTTTCGCTTCGATTTCCAGCTTCGGATGCCGCCTGATGTTTGGTGAAATACAGTTGAATATAATCTCAAAAAGGCGTTTAAATTAGCCTAAATTAAAAATAATCGTATATCTCTTAAAATTGCTTTTAGAATATTGATTAGTATATTTTTTGATTTCTTGGTAAATATGTAACCAAATTAAAACGTTCAAAACGTAAAAAAATGTGCATGGTTGAACATTGTCAGAAAGTACATTCTTGAATAGGTTTTGCCAAAATGGGTTCAAAAATGTCAATAATTAATTAAAAAATACAGTAGCTTTATAATTACTTATAACTTACCGAATTTAATGAACGACATCTTTTATTGGAAACATGAGCTTGATGAGCTTTCATCATCGCTACTGCCTGAAGCACCAACGTCAATAATGAATGGCTCGACTTGTTCCTCTAAAATATTGTCCAGTTCCCACATTCTCTTTTCTTTTTCTTCTTTCTTTAGCTATATAATTTTTAACCTCTGCCCATATGAGCTCAATGGGATTGAGCTCGCAATGGTATGGAGGTAAACGGAGCACAGCTTTATTTTGACTTGCTGTCATTTCGTCAATGGCGTATTTTTGATATTCCGCCTTGGGATCCTTGACAACTCTTAATAATTGTACTTTCAGCATTGCTTCTTCAAAGTTG